TTTACTATTACGATAGTGATTGTCAGTGTAATGGTAATCTGTAAATATTCTAGGCTCCATCAATGAAAGGCAGGAGGGGTTAGGGAGGGGAGGAGAGAAAGTAAAGGTATGCACAAGTTCTCACACAAGAAAGAACTGATTCCCAGTACTGATAACTGGGGAGAGGATAAGCATGATATTAAAAACCAGAAGGTAGCAAACAAAGGAGAAAAATAGATTTTAGAAAACAATTTCCTTTGGCAAAAGAGAGGAAAAAAAATAACGACAAGGCAACCATAAATTGTAAAACCATAAAGGAGGATGACAAAAATAACACTAAAGTTGCCAGTTATGACAATAACTTTGAATAGGTAAAAAGTCCTAATTCAGAGGCTAAGATTTTTAGGCTCATTTAGTTAAGTTAGTCAGTAGTTATTGAGGGACTATGAGCCAGGCACAGGTGTAAGTGCTCAAAATATAGCTATGAACAAAATAAAACCTTTTTCTTAGTTAATATTGTGTTCTATTACAGAGACAAATCTATCAAAGCCAACTGTATATTTATATTGAATTGTAGACAAAACATTTTTAAAATCAAGCAAAAACAAAATCACTGTAAACATTAATAGCAGACAAAATCAAAGTCATGGCAAAAAGGATGAATGGAACAAAGATCATTTCATTGTGAAAAACATTTACAGTTCACAATGATTAGTATTTAGGCACCCAGTAACAGATCATTAAAATATATAATTACTACCAGAAATAAGAAAAGAATTTGATAAGAATTGGACAGTAGGAGATATTAATGTGCTGCACTGAGCCTTTGCAAGACCAGGCAGAGAGTACTTGAAAACTCGAGTCCTGAACAAGATCCCTGTTTTGGATTAAAACCCTGGCTCTGCTCCTTATTTGCTGCGTGGTCTCCAGCCAAGTTACTTAAACTCTCAGCTTTAGGCCTCAAGAAAAATGGGGGTAGAGGTTATTGTGAATATTATAAATTAATGGTCTAATATCTTGGCACCAGGCCTGGCACATGGTAAATGCTCAGTAAATACCACCTATATTGGTCAAAACTGCACACAGAGAAGCAGTGGTTGGATAGCGTTATTAATGCAACCAATTTAGAAGATCTACAAAAATCTTAAATCTACAAATAGAGAAGACACAAGCATACACCATATATATGTATAATACATTTTATATATTTATGAATATATATTTACATAGCCAGTTGTTGCAACTTAAACAGGTTAAATATCGTGATTTATTTTATATATACATACACTCACTTTTCAAATACCCAAGAAAAATTTACTGAAACCAATAATATGCTAGGGCACAAAGAAATTGCCAGTAAAATCCCCAAACATATAAATTATTTAGGTGTGTACAATGAAATTAAAAATTCTTAGCAAAAGTGTGTGCAAGCACCTTTAAAATCAACAAATTAAAAATTTTAAATATTATCATAAATAACTCTTGAATTATAGGACATTATTTAGGAAATGATTATATAAGAAATAACAAAGACATTAGCTATAAAAATATATTGGATATAACCAAAATTCAGACCCAAATAAGTTTGTTATTGAGTCAAAAAGTGAAAATTAATCAACAAAGCATTCACTGAATCTATCAATAAAATAATAATATAGCAAATATGAGGAAAGCAGAAAGAAGAAATTTAAAAAGATAAATTATAAAATAAATGACTTGGAGGAAAAGGAAAATAATAAATACACGAGCTATTTACTTCAATAAACAATAAAATACACAAATCTCTGCAAAGTCTAATTTTAAATTACTTAATATTTATTAAAATATTAGGCTGCATCTAGATAGTAACACTAAATATTAATTTAAATATTTAAAATAACTGAAACACTAATACTTAAATAATAAAAAAAAACTTAATAATATTAGAAAACAAAGCTACCAAATATGAAAAATTCCTATAACATATACAGAGGAATATTTCTAAGCAAAAGAATGCCATCTCTGCGATCTTAGATTTTAAAATCCCAGTGAAATGTATTTTTAAAAAGAAAATGACAAATTACCAATAAGCTGTGGGAAAACCTCACATGAACCAAACGTGAGCTGTGTCCCCCCGGCGAGGTCTAGAAACAATGACCAATAGCAATGCACTTCCTTAGCACCAAGAGTGAGATTGACAAATGCTATTTTCCTTTAAAAGAAATCAGAACTTGTCGGAGAAGTGGCTGATTCCAGGACTGAGGTGAGAAACAGACATGAGACTGGAGAATCTCCTCCTACCAGATAGCAGAGCAGCCGTCAAAGAGCACTACAGTCATGCAAAAGAACCTAGAAAAAGAGGGCTTGTCCAGACAAGACAAGGTAACCTTGTTTCTCCTAGCTCCTGCCTGCCAAGTACCTCCATACACCCTGGAAACAACGCAAGAGGCTTCCAAAGAGAATTTGGAAAGGTGGAAGGAGGAGGCAAGATGGTGGGGGACCCTAGGACTGGAGGCACAACACAGCAGAAGGGTGTCTTATGACCCCCACTCAACAGAAGCTGACACAGACTCTGCCTTTCCCAACCAACAACCTGGCAATAGAATGCAGCCCAGGTAGGTTCATTGCTTCCCTGGATGGACTAGGACTCCTGCTGAAAACACCATCAAGGGAATTAGTCAGAACACTTGCTGATAATAAGCAGCCAGGGAAACTTCTCTTTTTCCCTTGGGAGGGTGGAGAGGATGGGGTGGATCAGCTTGGAGAGCTTGCCACAACAAGCGCCCAGCCCCCAGACACTGAGCAGCTGAGAGACGGTGGCAAGGGATTTCTGCCACAACAAGTCGCCTGGTCTGGACACCCTCCC